CGTCGTGTATTTTGTGTCACGTTCTCTTTGATAAGATTCCTTTCCTTTCTCAATATATATATTTGTGTAAGTGACTATTTTATTTAAAACATTATCTGGAAAATAAAGTTGCCAAACATCTAAAACAGATTTCGCGTTTTTGCCAGTGGTCGATTTTACACGTGGTAAACAAGCAATAATGTTGCGTTTTCTCTGTTTACCTTTGTACTGCTTTGTTTTAAACCAAAAAGTTTTTTTATCTCTACTACATATATATAAAGGACTTTCCTAAAATAAAATTATAAAAAATTGAAAAAAATTTGTGTAAAATTATAACATTTTATTTATTTCGTTTATTTCCAAATCAATTCCATTCTTTAATATACTATTGTAAAATTTTATGATTATTGTCAAAATTTACAAATTATTATTAAATACTTACATTCCCAGATTCAGAAAATTGTTCATCTAATTCTTCACTCGATATTTGTGAATCTGTTGACAGTTCCGTGTCACATACATACTCTGAATCTTCTGAATCACTAATGGTTTCTTCTATAAACTCTGTCCAAAATTTTCCAAAAGATGTTTGCTCATTCATGTTGTGTATCTTTCTTGTACTATGTTATATTGATTATAAACAATATGCGACCGGCAGTGACGAGACATTCAGCCATTCAGGGTGCGTTTCGAGTTACGCATGATGTATCGTTTGTCCTTGTTGTTCATCAAATAATAAAGAAGGATAAAACGATAAATCATGCGTAACTCCGAACGCACCCTCGGTTAGGCTGTTGATACGCACCCTCGGTTAGTCTGTTGATACGCGAAGACTGGCGGAGATGACAAACACTAATGTAAGGGCGCGCGCTACGGTCTTTTAGACCGATCGTTACAACATATAAAATTTTATGTAGATATAAGCGTGTTTACGTCATCTATTTTCGCATACTATACGAAAAAACATTAACAAACATTTACGTAAAAGTAAAAATATAATAATGCCAATAAATTGAAAGATATAAATAGAAAACGGAAGAGTACGGCAAAATAACCGGTACGCGATCACTCTCGAGTTAAGATATCTTCGAACAGATACATTTACTATTATAAGTGCTGCAGAAAAATTTTTAATTTTTTTCGAATAAATAATAAAAATTGTACGGTTAGATCCAAACGCATTAAACAAAATGATTTCAAATACATTGATAAATATTAATATAATTACGTTGTTTAATAATTTTAATTTGCACAGTCGTGAAGTTACACAAACATTTGATGTAATGAAAGATCTCAAATTTATATTGAGCCAATCAATTATATTATTTCTCAAAATAAAATTTTATTATTATGGAAAACAAATAACTAAAAGAGTAATACGTTTATTAGATAAATCATTTTAAAAAAAAATATTACTTTTCAAGGCTAATAAGAATATAGAAGAATAATAATATTATACACTCATTCACTCAGAGAAAAAAGTCGTATCAGTAACTATAAATTTGTAGTGAAATAGCGCCTCAACTATATACATATTATTAAATTCTAATAAGAATACTAGATTAAGTGAACTAAGAAAATATAACATTAATTATATAATCAAAATTACAAATGGTTAATATTACTATATTTTCTTAGTTCACTTAATTTACTTATTGTTGTTATTAAAGCTTTATAATACATAGTTACAAATTTGTGTATGCATTTCTTATTTATTTTTGTCTTCCAAGTTTGAAACCAACGCTGCGTCTTTTATCGTAAGCTGAGTGGTTTCCTTCTTAGGAGAAACTGAACTCCGCTACGTCCCTCTGGTGACAAAGCCGCGTACTACTCGTACTGAGCGACACACTTTAAAAATTTTTGTCTAAACTAGAAAAATGTAATTGTTATATCTATTTGCATGAAGTCCAAGTAACTACTCAATGTAGTTGAGTCACTATTTCACTACCAATTAATAGTGCATACAATTTGTTACCGTGACTATATTTTTATGATATTCAGCACTACTTTAGTTTCTATTACTTTGTAAAACTAGTTACAGGTACTTCAATTGCAAAAGTTGCCAAATTTATAGTTGCTACAACTATTTCGTTTTCTCTCACAGCACAGGGAATTCAAAAAGAATTCAGTCGTATGTTAAAAATTCTTTTCTGAAAAGTTAAAAAAAAAAAAGAATCCTTTTGCATCTGAAAATAAATTCAAAATAAAATTGATGACATACGGCTGAATTCTTTTTGAATTTCTTTTAATCTCTGTGCTATCTGTATAAAGATTATAATAAAAATACGTTATGTATACGTCATATTAATTTTATATAAAAAATGTATCAATAATTATCAGTATGTTGAAATAAATTCGTATTTAATTTTTCTTATACATGTTTCATTTTATTTGTAAACATATTTTTTTTAATTTATATAATATTTTTATTATATTATTCTCTTTATGCACATCACATTTTATTTCTTATTTACTTGAAATAAGAATATGTAATCTTGTTTTTATACTTTTATTTTTGTCTCTAAATATTTCAATATTTATCATATTTTAATATTCATGTGAATGTTTGCAATACCAACGCACAATATACATAATATACACTACAAATTTATTAAAAACTAAACTAATTCTAGGTGATACAACAAATGCGTGATACAATAGAAACAATGTCATTTTTTTCAAATAAACAAAGTATAATAAGTAAAAAAATTTTTTTCAGATTTTTGAACTTTGTTTTTCTATTTTTCTTAAAGTAGGGAAACTTATTTTTGGACTAATCCTCATATAAGATAATTTAAGCACTTAGCACAATCCCAGGTGAGCTGGATTAACAAGAGTAAATTTTTCGATGCATTCAATAAGCCATACTAACGGCAGACTCTTGATATGTGGCATATTATATTTAATAAGCGGTTCACCTATCTTTTTACCTGGCACATATATAATATAATGTGTACACTTATGTAAAGGATGAGATGGATCATTCGCAGTATGGAAAGGTATCACTTGTGACACATTTTTTAGATCTTCTGGATTTGGTTCTCTAGTGAGTACTGTTCCTTCTCCTACCTTTACAAGGCTTATTAGATCGTTCTTAGTAAATTGTACGTCAGCAATGTGATAAGTTGTATTTGCTTGCAAAGAAAAATAAAAGAAACAATTATTGAATAGACGTGGATTTTGACATTCAGCGTTCTGTCTGGCTTTCCTCGGGATATCAGAAGTAGGCGCGCCGTTAACTTCAAACAATTCGAGATCCACATTAGCTATTTCATCCATATCTTCTGCCAGTCGAATCCCTTTAAATTTTAATTCTTTCTAAATATTAATTTTGTATTGCTTAAATTTTTATTTAGACATAACAATTTTACTGTATATATAAATATAACTGTATTGCAATATATTTGAACAAACAATTCATAGCATAAAATTTATTATACGCATAATATGCTTACACTCGCTACTGAGAAGCCAACTCCCATAAATAATTGAGAATAAGACGTCAAGTGTTAATGTTGTAATATTTTGCTCATTTGTCTCTACTATGACATGTGTAACAGATGGTCTGAAACAAGTTGATTGTATCACACTAGTTTGCATTTACTGTAAAAAGAAAAATCAATACAATAAAAAAATATATAAAAAGAATGAATATGTACCTATACGTTGTCAACATTTTGAATTTATGTTTTGCGGCCACGAGACCAAGCAATTTCTGATTTTCACGTTTTAAATTTGACGCAAGAATCACAAATTTATCACATCTTGAACGAATAGATTTATCTAGAGTTTGATCAAGGTCTGATATCTTTTCTGATGGAGTTCTAGGTAAATCCATCAGAAGTTGTCGCATCTTTTCTGATTTACAGTAGTCTCTGCATGCATATTAAAAGATTATGCAATAAAATTATCTTTAATAAGTATTCTTTGCGGATACAATAAAACATCTACATACATAGGTTTTTTGCCATACTGATCAGGTAGGTTTTTGTCCGCATTATAATGCAACAACAACTTAGCTTCTTCAATTCTGTTACACTTAGCAGCTTCATGTAGTGGTTTTCGGCTCTTATAACCAGATATATCGGGCAAAGCTCCACAATTCAATAGCAACTTACATATTTCAGTACATCCATAACTGACCATTTCTTGCTGAAATATTATATAGAATAATACATATAATTTAAATTTGACAAGTTCGCAAAAAAATGTATTGATGTATCTCTTTTTTACCAACGGTGTCCAACCAGCATGATCTTTTGTATTAGGATTTGCATTAAGCAACAAGAGATGTTTAACTTGTTCAGCATTTTTCTGTAAAATAATCGTCTTTTGAAGCTTTCTTAGAGAAGTTTCTTTATAAAAGAAAATTATCTTTTAACGTACATAGCAGGGTTGGTAAAAGAAAATGTTAAAAAAAAACATAACATGTGTTTTTTTTAATGTATTTTTAATGATTTGAATATATTTTAAAGCTTAATCTACAATATGCTCTTTGTTTTCTGTTTCTTGTTTTTTATCCACTTTTTATCTCTTGCCTTTTCGCCTCTTACCTAGTTTTTTCGTTTTTTGTCACTTCAGATAAAAGTCAACAAACTTCAAGAGACAAGAAATATATGGAAAAAAAAAACACTTGCCGATAAGACGGTCACAAAAAAGGAAAAAGACATGAGATAAATAGCAAAAAAACAGAATACATTGTAGATTAAGCTAAATAGTATTAAAAGAAACATGCTTGAAATATATTTAAAACATCCATCACCGACGAGATATTAAAGACTGATATTCAAGACCGAAGATACTCAACCCTAAGCAAATTTTCGGTGATATAAAAAGGGTCCGGAGATAATTGAAGAACGCTGACATTATCGACAATTGATATAAATTTGCTATTATTAACATAAATATTTAGCTAATACATTATTAAATTCATGATTTTTTACTATATAAATGTTCCATAAATAAATATGCATACTTGTAAAGTTATAATATCCTATATATATGTCGAAAAATTGTAACTTTTTCTCTGCAATTATCATCTCTGTTGATAATCAAACTTTGACGATAACACTGAAATCACAATTTTAAAGAAAAATCAAGTATTATTGAGTTTTAAGTGCATATACACTGATAAACACATCTACTAAACTAATAAATCATAAAATTAGTACAATATCATCAGGTTTTTACTCTTAATCACTTCAATATTAACACGGACTCGAACTCCTGTAAGGATGTCAGTCTTTAATAGTATCTCGTTGGTGAATCCATTAAACATGTTTTAAATATATTTAAAACATGTTTTTTATCAACCTTATTATATAGTACTTGAGATGTAATAATTTAATTCAGGTATTATAAATTTTATTTTTAAACAAAGCAAAGGAATGTAATGAAGACAGTATTAGTATTTTGTAACTATATACCTTCAAACATGCTCTGTGTAATGGTGTTTCTCCTTTGTGATTTGGTTTATTTATATTTCGCATACCTGGATAACTCTGTTTCTTTGGTGTATGAAATATTGTGGATATTGTATTGTCCAACGATATACTAGATGCATCTGTAGTAATATCCCATATATCTCTAAAATCATTTATTTTTATATTGTTATTTATATAGTTTTATTTAACAAACCTCTAATTGACCTTTTATGAATAATATCTGCAATAACATCGCAATTTTGTATAAGACTGGATACTAAATGATCAGGTTTTATTTCCTTTGGCTGCACTGGTATATCACATTTATTACATTTCGTTGCAGATTGGACACAATTACGACAAAAGAAATGTCCACAATTTGTGAGCCTTACAGGGGAAACTGGTTTTGACCCACTGCATAAAAAAAGTGATCATATTGTATAAAGGATATACATATACATATATATGAAATAATAATAATACTAGAAAAAAACATAAAATATATACAAGTATAAAATAGTAAATACAATAATGAATATATACATGTATATATAAATATAAAGAATACATGTTGGAACTTGATATCAATGTCAACTATAACAAAATCTTAAATAATGTAATTATACCATTTCCCACAAAGCAGAGCATTTGCGAAATCTTGCAACGCACAAGTAGTATTTACCCACGACGTCTCCATGTTCGTAAATTAATTTTTTTAAACGTTAGTCGATTGCAATTTTATCCACAACATATATCTATGCATACATTTTTTTTGCTATATATCGTGGATGAGGATAGCCTTCAACCTGTCCTTTCACGTTTTAACTATGGTGGGAAGAATATAATAGCGTTTTTCATTGGCAACTGGTGCGCACTCAGTGCACTTTAAAGCCGTTGTACAACAATCGACGTAAAGATATACGTTTTATAACAATATATAAACGAATTAAACCGTGAAATATTCGATACATTTTATTGATATATTTAATAAAATAAATTTTGAGCATTTTATCAATTGAGATATCTCACTTATATATTTTTTTAGAACAGTGTACAACAGCTTTAATATGCACTGAGTGCGCACTAGTTTTGCCAATGAAAAACGCTATAAGGGCTGCGTTCCACTTAACGCTCATAACGTTCGTGGAATCATTTTATCCTTGTCGTTTATCAAATGTTAAACAAGGACAAACAATGCTCACGAGCGTTGCGAGCGTTAAGTGGAACGCAGCCAAGGGCTGCGTTCAGCAGACTCAACAGTTTTGCAACCGTTTTATGATTGTCTGCTGAGATAGGACCATTCTTCTAGATCTAAAAGTATGATCCAATCAGCGCGAAGGAAACTTCCAACAGTTGCAAAACAACCGTTCTGCTGAACGCAGCCAAGGTGAAGTATTGTGCATAATAGCGACATGGCTTGAAATTCAACCAATCAGTTTTTCCCCACTTAGAGAGGCGCGTATTTTAAATGTAGTAGGTTGATAATGAAAATATGATTCTTCTAGTGAAAGTTAGTTATATTAATTATAAAAACGTTTAGAACAATTAATAACAATAAATAATATGATATAAAATAATGTACAGAACAGAAATAAACAATGACATAAAATAAAATGTAAAACAAAAATAAATTAGTTATAGATTTAAAATAAGAATATTGCTTTCTAAAAGTATTTTAAATAAGAATATTCTTTCTAAAAATAATATTTATAAAATTATTGTAACAAAAAATAGTTACTAAGATATGTATTATATTTTAATATTTGTTTTTTAAATGTAATGTATGATTCATTTACTATGTGTAATCTTATAATTTTCATCTTTTTGACATGCTGCCAACCATTTCGACCGTAGATAAGTGGTACGATTTTTACAGTTTTGTACAAAACAGCTTGGCATGATCGTCTGAAAAAAATGAATTGTTAATAATAATATCACTAGGTTCTTTATATAAAAATGTTACAATCGTACAAATAATATTAACCTTGTAAATAATATTGCACTTTTGTAAATAAAATTTACTTCAACACCTCAATATCTAACCTCAGCGTTCACTATCGGCACTCTAAATACATAATATTTAACCATATACCCATGTTTCGTCACCAGTTATAACCCTTTTGAGCAGATCAGGATCATCATTGACGTCGTTCAACATGTCTTGGGCGATGTTCATGCGACACTGCTTCTGATCCAAATTAAGCAGTTTTGGAACGAATTTCGCTGACACACGTGTCATACCCAAAACATCCGTTAAAATTGATTGGCATGAGCCAAACGATATGTTAAGATCATCAACTATTTCTCTAATCGTGATTCGACGATTTTTCAACACAATTTCTTTCACTTCCTGAACATTTTCGTCGGTTTTTGACGTGCTGGGGCGTCCAGAGCGAGGTTCATCGTTAACATTTTCTCGGCCCTCTTGGAATAACTTATACCATTTATAAACATTTTTTTTGCTCAAAGTTGACTCACCGTACGCCACTGTCAACATTTCAAGAGTTTTTGAACACTTAATACCATTTTTTACACAAAAATTAATACAAACTCTCTGCTCCATTATTTTCAAAAGCAAAAAATCGCCGAGCACGCAAACACGAGTCTAACCTTTATGCCTCTCACATAAAAACAAAACATGCTATATAGTCAAAACTGTGAACATATGATCGTGACGAGTGTACCAACACAACAAAAAAAAATTTTTTAAATTAGAGTGTACAGAGCGCGCGAAATTCAAAAAGTCACCTTACTTTTTGATCACACCTCGTATATTTAATGTAGGCCATATTGAATTTAGCACTTTGGGAAAAATCTGATTGGCTTACTGCTCCCTATTACTTTTGGACGACTGCGTATCCACCGGAATACTTCACCTCATATTCTTTCCACCATAGTTTTAACTTTTCATTAATTTCTAGAGTATAAATAGAGAGAAGCCTGAGGCCGAAATCAGACTTACGCATTGAAGATTGAGATTGAAGATTGAAAAATTCAAATTTGCTTTAGTCGCATCGTAGCGTCGCAAGCGTTGCGGTCCAATCAACATCGATCTACGCTTACGACGCTGCGTTGCGACTAAGTCCGGATCGACAATAGGTGTTTTAAGACTTAAGACGTAAGAAATTGACCAATTACAGTCGAATTCGAGGGGAATAATCGACTGTGATTCGCCCATTTCTTATGGCTTAAGGCTTAAAACCCTATTGTAGATCCGGGGTAATGTAGAACCAGCTTTAAGGGTTCCGTCCCATGACGCGTGTCGCTGTACGCGCGTATTCGCGTATCGAAGGATCCGACCAATCACCGACGATCCGCCGTTTTACGTACGCGATAATTGTGTTCCTAATGTCCCATGGAGCGGTTCGTGCGTAAGCGGATTACGACGATACGCGATCCGCTTACGCACGAACCGCTTCATGGGACATTAGGAACACAATTATCGCGTACGTAAAATGGCGGATCGTCGGTGATTGGTCGGATCCTTCGATACGCGAATACGCGCGTACAGCGATACGCGTCATGGGACGGAACCCTAAGGTCGCGGTCCGATTCACGCTCACAACGCTTAAAAATCATTTTATCCTTGTTGTTTGTCAAATGTTGAACAAAGACAATTAATGCTCATGAACGTTGTCAGCATGAATCGGACCACGGCCTAAGTTGGTAACGGAGAGGTCGCTAGTGAGCAGTATCTCCGCGACATCTAGCAGAGACATGGTGGAATTATACAACGTGAGTCATTGCGCATAATGGCAGCAGAGGGTGGGAGACATATCTTGTCAACCAATCACGAAGAGCCCATTTTATGAGCGCGGAATTCAAATGTTCATAGGAGATAATTAATAAAAACACAGTATTTAGGCTGGTATTCAATGGCTACGTTTACACCGTGCATTTAGGTCGCGGCCTATACAATAGACGTCCTTGTTTATCCTGTATATTAAACAAAGACACCTATCGTATAGGCCGCGGCCTAAATGCACGGTGTAAACGTAGCCATTGAGCTCTTGTATCTGTTTGGTCTATATTTTTAGTTCTAACGGAATATGCCAATCAGATGCAAGAGCTCACTGTACGCTCAGTGAGCGGTGTAGTACTGAATGCACCCAATAGAGTGCATAATGGATCTCTAGACGCTGCCATGTGAAGATACCTTAATATGTTACCATACGTGACATTTTTGACGTGTTTGGCGCAAAAGCACGTCCAAATTTGAAATAACGACGTTAACCTCAAATAAGGTTGTTTTCGACACTTAACAACATCTTTGCAATCAATCGTAATGGAAGCGATCGCATCAACAGCGAGTATCAATGCGGATGAGGATTTGGATGATTTCACTCCGGCGAAACTAGTCAAAACGTTAGAGGTAAGTCACGCCGTACGAATCTACCTTCAGGACTATGTGTCTTCATATCCGTACACGTTCGAACATGTCTGTCATGTTTGTTTTATGCTTTGTAACTTATCGCGCAGAAAAATGGCATCACAGCTGGAGATATTAAGAAGCTCCAAGATGCTGGATACTACACTGTCGAGGCAGTGGCCTACGCGACCAAGAAGGATCTCTTGACGATCAAGGGCATCAGTGAAGTCAAAGCAGATAAATTGCAGCAGGAGGCCTCCAAGATGGTCATGATGGGCTTTAAGAGCGCCACGGAGGTATATCAAACACGATCGAATATCGTCTATATCACTACAGGTTCCAAGGAATTGGACAAGCTATTAGGTGGAGGAATAGAAACTGGCTCTATCACAGAGATCTTTGGAGAGTTCAGATCAGGAAAGTCTCAACTGTGTCACACTCTCGCTGTGAACTGTCAGTTACCCATCAGCATGGGTGGCGCAGAGGGCAAATGTCTCTACATAGATACAGAGAATACTTTTAGACCAGAAAGATTAATAGCAGCGGCAGAAAAGTACAAGATCAATGGACAGTCAGTTCTCGATAACGTCGCTTGTGCAAGAGCGTTCAACACTGATCATCAGACTAAGTTGTTGCTTTTAGCCAGTGCCATGATGACAGAGGCAAGATATGCCCTGTTGATAGTTGACAGTGCGACCGGTTTATATAGAACCGATTACACCGGCAGGGGTGAATTATCAGCTAGACAAGTTCATCTAGGGAGATTCCTTAGAATGCTGCTGCGACTGGCGGATGAACACGGGATAGCCGTGGTTATAACGAATCAAGTGGTTGCACAAGTCGACGGCGCCGCTAGTATGTTCGGCGGTGATCAGAAAAAACCGATTGGTGGTCACATTTTAGCTCACTCAAGCACAACAAGATTGTACTTGCGTAAAGGCAGAGGAGAAACTAGGATATGCAAGGTATATGATTCACCGTGTTTACCAGAGAGTGAGGCGACATTTGCCATAAATCCAGATGGCATAGGCGATGTAAAAGAATAAGTTTAAACTGAAGAATTAGAATAAAAAAGAACATAATAAATTATTATACACAGTGATTTGTTTTTAAGAAAACCGACAAATGTATTTCACGCATTGGATATCAGCTTATCTTTGTTAAGATGAAGTTAAACAAGAGATAAATGTCTCTCTCGCTCACGTTGGATAATGTTAGTTATATATCTTAAAATAATTGAAGAGTTCAAGAAAGGACAATAAATTCTACGCAATCGAAGTTAATTGTTAAGTTAGTTAAGAGGTAGATCATATGTACAATATATTTTTCTAAATGTAATATATCTTTCTTACAAGACTTTATATAATATTATATTTCAAGGCTTTAATAAATATAAAACAATAAATATACTTTTCTTAAACGAGATGGTTCTTTTTTATTATATAATTAGTGCAAAAGGATTAAAAATATTTTGCTAATTAAAACCTTCTAAAGAATAAGTATAAGTAATATATTTTTCAAATAATTTTTATTTATAGTATATCTTGATTATTTGAATTCCAACTTAATTCTGGCGATTTTAATTTTTAGAACAGTTACATTGATTATTGATTGGCAACATTGAGATCATAGAGTTGGTGCTACTCGCACCCCTTTTGCATTGCACTTCACATCAGTTCTCGATAATTGGAAGATTTGCCAACGTTCATGATATCCGCGATCGCTGTTTCTTTTTCGCAAAATATCAGTGAAATCTACAACGGTTTGTACTTGTATATTAATCCATAACATAAAATCTACTTTCCCGCTGCCTTTTTCGTGCTATCATGAGGTACTCCCACTTCTTCGAGTCGAAAAATACTGTTGTAATTGCATGAAGTGAGGTTCAAATGATTTTGAATTTCACAATGGCTGTGTTCAGCAGAGAAAGCAGCTTTACGACTGTTGTAAAATTCTTTAATATGATTGGTTCTTGCTTTTGGTTCCTTATAGATCTAAACGTATAAACGAATCATATTGAAGAATTTTACAGTTGGAAAGCTGCTTGCTGAACGCAGCCATTTATTCAACGAACGCGTAAACATCTCCGAAACTTTCATGAAGTCCGATCATAATTGAATTTAAAAAAGGACAATGAATTTTGAGCAATCAAAGTTAATTGTTAAATTAGTTAAAAGGTACATTATATGAAGAAAAATTACCTACAGTAATATTTTTGTTAATTTTTTTCTGATATATTTTTCTTAAAAAATTGGGATCAGATGCTCTACGAATTATTTTATTGGCTACTGAGCATTTAAAGATAAATTTAAGGAAGCCTTAAATATAATCTGATCATGAATACGACGGGCAAAAGTAACGAATTTGCATGTAGATACTCCTTGTAACTTTCAAGAGCGATTCTCGATGAGCAGACGAATTGAGAACCTCTATCAAGCGATTATGTCGCGGAGTATGGTGAGTTCTCTGTGTACACATAAAGGGTGTTTTTACACGAATGAGAGAATTATTTGACCCTCCATTTCGCCCTGAAATATTATTGTATTTTTATTATTATATACAGGTAATTAGTATTATTATTTCGTAGATTGAAAAGATTTTAGAAAAGAAGGAATGCAGCGAAGAAAAGGCAAAATCAGGCGGAATAAAAAACCAAGAGACAATAAAAGAAAACAAGAAGAGAGAAAGTGCTGAAGAAGAATTTAAAGCTTCTATGTATGTTACTTAAAACACGAAACGTGGATAAGCATTTCAGTGTAAATGAATAGGATTAGAATTATAAAAGTCTATGTTCGGAAGTGGATAAAAGAAAATTAAAGAGCGAGTTTAGGAAAGCAGTATCATATTGCTAATTTAAGCAATCCAGATATTTTTCTTAATATATTGTCTAATCTGTCACCATTAGGTTCATCACATTCATCCACACACATACACACACACACACACACACACACACACACGCGACATAACTAATATAAAATGTACATTTTCTGAAAAAGTATATTTTCTAATAAAATAAAATTTTCTAAATGTTATTACAATTTGAATACAAATTTTTTAAATATTTTGTTTTGACATTTCATTTATCTTTATACAAAAGATTATGTTCAAAACTGCATATAATTGATTATAAGTGTACAGTAAAATAATGATCTAAATTGTCTAAAATATTGTAAAAAGATAAATATATCGAATTACATTATTGAGCACATACGTGTATATATACATAAATACGTGTACATATTATATTAAAAATAGATTCGAAAATATTGTATTGCCCATTTCATATCTCTCGTTAATTTTATTTCTCTAAAAATGGCATATTTTTTATTCCATAATTCGTCTCATATATGATAATTAACATCCCTGTTGATTAATTGTAGATTTTCACAGCATCATTGATTTGCAATCGTAACTACGACGTTTCTATCAGCCACACTAATCGACAGGTTCGTAACAGGACAATTCAATTTACATAAGCGAGATCAGACTTCTAGTGTGTGTATACTATATACTTAAAAAAATTATAAAATTGTAAACTATAAAATATTAAGCTAATCAGTTCTTTCAATCGACACTATAATGTACACATATTTATATTTGTTCAGAGTCGCGATTTAATAGAAGGAAGTATCACTTATCGATCACTCTGGAGGCACTAAGTGGCTTATAATTCAAACGGCTTTAATCGGTCATGGATCCATAAGATTCACTGCGGAAGCCCGGAGATTTAATTGGTATTCTCCGAAAAGCATAGCCGCTAACCATTTATACTGCTCGTCTTTGGATGTGCCCGCCAAAATATTCCCGAAATATGGACTGTCCTTACATCTGAAAAATAATTGAACGTTATTTTACCAAGGAAATAATTGAACATTTATAGATATCATTAAATTATAATGTAAATGACAAATATTTGTTGATGTAATAATAACAAATTTATTATTACATCCATTGATAGAATTAGTAGATAGTATATTTACCTCGTTGGTTTCTTGTTTTTTGTAATAAACGTGATGGACCAGCTGTGAAGAAAGCACATTTAGTAAGTTTTTCAAGAATTTTATTAAAATCTTGAAATTGTAATGTTTCATTTACCCCATCTGTGGATTTCTTTTAGGCTCATGTCCCAAGTACCAAATGATGTCTTCTATCTTCCACTCATGAAGTTTCACGGAGCACACCTTATCCTTGTAACAAAAGAGCTTCGCCTGGCTGAACTCGAAGAGATAAGTTTTCAAGTTCTTTGTCTTGATGTCCGCAAATTTAAGTTCCCCGGAGATCGTCATAGGCGGCTTTACCTATACAAAGAGGAACAGAAAGTGAAACAGAGAGAGGGAGAAGAAACATAATTAATTTCAATTAGATCATATCCTGTTTTCGCAGCGCATGCGGGACGCATCTTTCTCTTCGCCTCTATAATTACGCAATTTGATCCGTATATAGAAGCTTACGCGTGCTTTGTACAGCCTTGAACTCGTTTTGCTATTATAAATTTAGACCATGGGAATTCATAAGATAATCTTTCCATATGTGCTAACAGCAATTTCACTGCGATCATCAAGAACTTTGTGCGAATTTTATTTGTTTTGTTTTTAATATGTACCAGAGGCACGATGTCCTTGTATAATCGGTCTTTTCTAAGGACAAGGACATTATCCTTTCTGTCATCCGAGTCCCAGTATCCCCATCTCGCCACTGCTTCCAAGACACGTTCGTTATGATGCAACGGTCGCTCCAGCGCGCCGGACAGAGTATATTCCTCTAAACACAGCTCATGAGACGGTAAGTTGGTTTTCTCAGCGAGTTCTCGACACACATCGAATGCAGTCTTCTGAGGTCCGATCTAATTAATCAATTGTTTAAAAATAAATAAATGAAAAATTATATTTATAGCTACATTTTAATCATTAGTCAGGATTCAAACAAATTGTTGACAATATAGTATATAATAGTTTATAATAGTTTTTTAATATACACATATAGGTTTTGATCCGAGCTTTAATCTACAAATACACTGCAGATTATTCATCGATGCCAAAAATTAGAAAAAAAATCCTTACTGTAACGTTCACACACTCTCCATTCGGCGAAAGGATGTATATCCAGATCTTGAGATCTCCTGAAGGTGCACCTCGTAGTCCATTATTGGACACATGATGTTTTTCCAGAATCTCCAGCATCTTCGCTTCCTTGGCCAAATCAGCCGACGACAATTGGTAAAGTTTCGGATATAATTTGATGAGATCACCGACGACCTTGATCTCCGTCCGGTTCCATTCCTCGGCGCTGTTCTCGCTGGCATGCATCAGAGTTGGACCCCACACTGCCGAAAGATTTTCGACAGTCATCAGATTCCTGGCACTCTGCTGACTGAGGCCGTGAAGATGCGCTAAGATCCGACGAAGCGTCGCTGATGTTATAGGATTTAGAGTGGACAATAATTTTCGATAAGTCGCTACTCTATTTTCCTCGCTAGTCGATTCTATAAAAAGGGAAATGAATTTTTAAATATTTTTTGCGTTAACGTCAATTTTTTCAAAATTATAATTAGTCATTTAATATCTTATTGTTAGGAATTTTTCCCGCGTCTATTTTGTATCGTTTAAATCGATTTTGAACGGCTCACGTTTGTTACCTGAGGCGAGACAGAGTCGGTCATGTATAGTAGGAGGGAACAATGATTCCGGTAAATCTCGAAGAAATCTTCTAAGAACCGTGGCGACGTCGTGTTCCGTGTATACGTTCCGTGTTATCTGTGTGGCCCATGCATCTCGTCTGAAAGCCTCTAATAACTTTACGACAGCACTGCTCGATCCACTACGACGATAAATACCCTCCGTCATCATACCTGAAAGATAAGATTTTGTAAGGCATTCAATTACAACAATACAATAGCGTTCACAAACATATTTAATGCAACCAACAGTCTCTTGTGTGCGGAATTTAATTATCATGCAGGAAATATTTTGTTACTATCATTAATTCTAATGATAGCGATAACGCGAATTTAAATTGTAGTACATTATATAAAATGTCCCGTTATAAGAGAGAGATAATGATCGTACAAGAGAGAATAAAAGAATTGAAAATTATTTTCTTTTTTATCGTTTTTGTCAAGATTAATTTCAAAAATGGAGAAATTATCATCAGTTACGAGATATTATCGGATACACATATGTTTCCATAAAATTATCTTCGTTCAACGATACAAGATGATTCATTAATCACCATGGGCATAGATAAAGTTGACGCATTTGTCCAAGATGACAGGCACGTTGTCCTGCGTAATCTGCTGTTGGTCTAAAGCAGGACCGGAGTTTGTAGCTGCTTGATAAAGCGCATGTCGCCACGCAGTTGACTCGTGGGTTCCCGACGTGGCAATATGCAAGGCGCCACTACCCCCAGCATCTACAACGACTACTGGAACAGTCCCGCACGCGGCAATCGGCCCTTCTTGATCTCGCAATACTGCAATATGTCACAATATTATAATTTCAATAAACAGTAGCACGATAATAATAGAATATTATTACGCGGCAATTAAATTTTAACAAGAATTCTTTATCTCGTTAAAAAAATGTTTTTAAATAACGTTATTATTGATTAATATCAATATAATATTATATCAATGTAATGATTAATAGCATTCGTGATCAGGACATATGTATATATAATATGTATATGACTGTTAGAATGACTAATTGCGTGGCATTTTTAATCGAACAGTTCGTATTGCATTGAGCCACCGATAAGATAACCGAATTCATTTATTACCGCAATTAGGTCACGTTTTTCGCATTTCAACTGTAACATTAAGTGGGTCACGATAATTTCAACGATGAATCGAAAGAAATTCAGGCTAAGGCAAGTCAATTGATATTGATCACACATGAATGAATACCGAGAAAGACAACGGAATAAATTGATTTAATAACGTAATATTAATTTATTAAAATAAATTAAAGTTTTTTCTTATATATATTTCATCTATTTCACATCATCTATTTTACCTCATATTTTTATGTAGTACAGAGTATTTTATACTTGTGAGAGCCTTTAACCTTATATTTATAATAGATCGAATTAGAAAATTTCAAACTTTTAGCTAAAACTTACCAATGCAACGCGCTTTCCGTAGATCCACGTGTTCAAAATTCACAGCATAGTTCACAGCAGATTCCAAGGTTTTCGTGTAAGTCAGTATTCTTTGTTGTAAGAGGAGCCAAGCTGGGAACCATGTACCTGTTACACCTTCCTAAAGGGATACAAAGGATACATTGTAATCGAAGAAAAATAGAAGATGTTTCATATTTTTCAATTTAGTCGAAAGAAATTTAGCAATATACTGTGACAATGGAATCTGAAATATTCAAAACGTCTGCAAAACTGAAGAGGAATTTGCATATCAAAGCATATAGGTTTCCGCTTTCGCAAGCGCGAACGTTTTAGCAGCAAATATTGAGAATTTTGTGGTATAACATGATAATGGTATTTTCAAGTAAATTTCCAAACTTTAATGTTGAAATAATTCTATTTTAAATAATTTCTTAATTATAGTTAAAAAGAATGTTAATACCTACATTAACGAAGAAATACATCAAGTATATATATCAATTCGACGTACCTTAAAATACGACTGACGTAGGCTTGCAAATTTATTATAATAGATTAATATAAAATTGTAAGACGTAATAAAAAAATATGAAAGTGAACAATTCTTGGTGATTAATTGCACATAGAAATTTTTGTACATTATTTTTACTATTTTATTAATTTATTGTTTTTATGTTTAAAGGCATTGATTTTATTACATTGTTTTATATATATACCTTTAAGTAAGCCCAACCTGCTCTGGTGAAATCAGCGGTGTACTTTGTGGGAAAAATCGGCGTGCTCGTTTCTAGGATTCTCTGAGCCCAAATTCGTCTCTCGGCAACACCTTTCGCATAGAAAATGTGCACACTCGGTCTGCCCGCGCCACTAATCGCTATGCAATGCACCGTCTCGCTGTCCATGGTTCTGCACATTTTGTAATTATCTTCATCAAGTAATCGCGATGACCAGCTGACGAGCTAGCTACATCTGATGTGCCAATCGTGATGAGTCAAAAGGAAGTTAAGATACGTAGCGTTAAATACAGATTAGACGCATTGACATATGAAGCGAAGAAAACTGCGCATTTAGGATCATGCTATTGCATTGAGAGTTGACGATTTCTCAGGAAAAGGTTGGTAGAAGAGCTGATCATTGCGTTTATATGTACAATATAGCATATAATTGCGATATACATATGTATTTATAATATTTAAATTATAATAAATAATTTAATTATCAGATTATATTTGAACGTTTCAGAGAAACGATCCTCTTTCGTGAAATCTTTTTCTTCTCGTTTAAAAAAGAAGACCTTGAGACCTCTCTTGCAGAGTGAGAGAGAGAGAAAGTATTGTAAGCCTGGGGGAATGTCTGCATGGCATTAACATTTGGAGTTGGTTCGTAAATATACGCCAAACGAGTGAGTCACTTTATTATTCAAACAATATGATAAAACTAGTGAATTCGACTTGAAGGTGTATCTTCTAATTTATAGCCGAAAAAAATATAGGATATCTGGATTATTCTGTATAATAAATAGATTCACTATTGATAAATAATGTTGTCCTGATAAATTGGATAAAGCTCATTTTTAATAATAAATTGAATAAAAGCGAATTTTGTAGAGGACGTAAAGAAATATTTAAAGTCATGACAATCATTATACAATATTGTGTTCACGGAGTAAAATATCAGACTCACTTAACATCCTGAAGCAGATGAATACTGTGTACTGTCTCTAATTCCACGACCTCTTTCAGCGTAGACATGCTCTTGTCAGCGTAGAACGATAATTTCCGATCGAGCAACACTGCTGCTCTCGGCACGAGGTCCTTGGCCCTCTCGATACCCATTCCAGGCCTTCACAGGAAAATAACGATATTTTTAATTAATACTTCAATCAATGCAGTCGCTTCGTTTAAATGAACGATTATTTAAACATCAAAGTCAATCGTAATCGATTAATAAAGGAATCTTTGAAATCTTTTTCTTCTATAATTTTTATATTTTATAAATTTTTACTTTCTTTAACGTTGCTTTTAAGGATTTGTAAAAAATGTTTAATGATAATTTTTAACACAATTTTTTAAATTTATAAATCACAAAATTTCATTGAATTATTAAAAACAATTAAATTAGTCAATAATTTTATCGTTTGATTTATTAGTTTTGTAAAAAAAATTTCGAAGGCTCACGAAATATATTTCTCGCGTAAGTTCATATTACTTCTTACCTGTATACTATTCCCCTATGTGTGACCGGATTGTGCGGAACGTTCACCTTCGGCCTCTCCATTCGCAGTGACCTCGAGCCGGACTCACCGATATGTTCACGAGTTCTGGCTAACAGTTTACTACCACTCTTAACAAAACTGATCACATTAGGCTTGATGGCGTGCACCGTGGACTCCTGTCGCAGTTTCTTTAATTTTTGTATCATGCTCACTTTGCGATTGTCCTCGGCAAGCTTTGGCGTCGCTGAAGAAGGATTAGTAACACTCTCCTCGTCATTATTGGCAAGTGTCGTTGTCGTTGTCACAGGCATACTCGCGTTTGGTTGAGGAAGCGGAGGACCCTTCATAGAAGGTTTCCTGGGAGGAACAGCCGGCTGCTTTTTGGTCACCAAGTGCGCCAGCTTTGGCAAGAGAGGCGGATTTTTGCTCGAAGCTTGGACCTTGTCGGGTTGTTCCACACCTTCTGCCACGTCATACTCGTTTTTGGGAAGGGAATCAAATCTCTTGGGTGGATCCGGAGGTGTGATACCAGAATGCATCAATTCCTCGTCCTCTTGCTCCTCTTCGGCGCTCTCGCGAAATTCTAACGTGCTATCGGCACTGCTAGGCAAATCGTTGGTAGCCAACAAAGTCTCCAATAACATCATATCGTTGTTCTCATAATTGCTATAAACGTTTTCGTCTTCGGCCCTCGCGAATGGATCGAACTCAAAAAGTACAGACTTGCTGCTTTGCACTCTGGTATCCGAGGGACTTGTCGTCGATTCTTGTCGACAATCAGCTTTCGGCGGCGATAGATTCTCATAGAGAGAATTTTGAATGGAAGCTTGACTGTCGAAGGACGCACAAGAAGTTCGATCTACTGGCGAAATTTTCCTCTCGAAGGATTTCTCCAAGCTTTCCTCTTCTACGTTGGATATCCTATCCACTTCATCGACACTCTCAGCTTTCGTGCCTGGTGTGGCGTCATAAAAAGTCCAAGAATCTGATCTCGATAGCCTTTTGGTAAAGGTTTCAGATTTGTCGAGCGATAGACTTGCATTAACATCAGACAAATTTAGACTTTGGTCGGAATCACTAGCCTGTTTGAAGAAGATAAATTTAAGAAGGATAAGATTAACACATTTATTTATCAATATAATGCGACAATAATTCCAGCGCTTAAAAATAAAACCGGTTCTATCAATGCAGATATTAAGAATAACAATAGGCCTGTTCTTTTTAGCTGAACTTTTAGACCAGTTCATTTTTCTTCCTTTTCTCTTCAGGAGGAAAGAAGAAGAAGAAAGATGAACTGATAAAAAGTTTAGCCAAAAAGAACAAGCCTAACATCAAAATATAATAATAGTAATACTTTTTATTGCAGAGTTATGAAGAGAGTGAAGAGCGATGAGGTCTGATTTTACCTGATTTCTCGACAAGCTTAGGACATTGAAGTCTGGAAAATCTCGCTCGATCTTGTCGGACACCGTAGAACTGAGTGTGTCGTATCGGCCGCTACTTCCCGACGTGACGGATTGCAATTCGTCGTAGATAGATTCGTCCGGAAGCGGGGGTGGCGGATAAACCGGAGGCGGCGGGCTGTGTCTGCCACCGGTGGATAGATCCTCTTCATTCTTCACGCTCCTGAGATTGCCGCTTAAAGGACTATAAAATGAGATGCTACTGAAGATGTTGTCGGCCGGCATGGACACGCATCTGTCCTCCTCAACTGGATCTTTGAGTTTCTTCTGGACACCGCCTTGACTGACTACGTCGTCCTGATTCAAGGATGACAGCCGTCGAGTCAACAAATTCTTTACCGACTTCTCCAGCCGAATGCTGGCGTTCCGCGTGCTGGAGATAACGGCACGTCCCTTCACCGTCATCTTCTCCGAGATCTCATCCTTCAGTTGACGCGAACTCGTACTGAGGCTGCGGAAAAACTCGTGGTTGCCGCGAGTACTTTCGCTGGTACTGCTGGTTGACCTTAAATCGTCGCTCTTCTCGGATTGACTCGATTCGCTGGTCGGACTGCTGGAATGAGTCGATGGCAAGGTGGTCATCGGCAAGAGTCTTCGAGGCGCCGGTATCGGTCTACTCTCAGTTAAGACTGATCGCGGCTTTGGTATCGGTTTCACCTCCATCATGGAGATTGATTCTTCCACAGTAATGTCACTCTAGTAAGATAATTCTAGGTCTTCTCTGATGTTAACCCATTGATTCTAAGACATATAAAAGTTTTTCTAATTCTTCGCAGCTCGAATTAATGCAAGCTCAAGTTGAAAACGTTTTTCTTTCAATTTATCAGAGTGCCTAAATATATTTAAAGAAATATATATAATAACAATTAAATAATTTAATAGTTCAGCTAACAGTAATGTTAAAAGCGGGGGATACAGAGTTATTATAACTTTTTAAATATTTTTTTGCTTTTTTATTATCACGAGCTCTAATTCTCGAAAAAGAGAAGCGCTTTCTAAAACTTCTTTAGTGAAAAATGTGTTTTCCTAGTGCCGCTATCAAGCGAGTCTCGCCTATTATTTGTTTTCAGGTTTAATCAAATTGTTATTTCTCCGTACTGAGCGGGTGACAAAACAAACGAGCGACGCAAACAGAAAGGAAATTATGAATTGTCCCAGGATGAATCATCGTTCCGAAAGCCGATATCGTCGCCCATAGTTTCCGGCTAGTATTTCAACTGACTGACGAGTGAGTATCACATCTATCTCATTCCATATTTGTACTTTAACTCTTGCGCCAGACATCGAGCATTATCGCATCTTGCCCCTATCACCTTCGGTAGCACTTCAAACAAACATAAGTATGCATTTGTGTGGGGAACGTTACATAAAAATGGATTCTCCAAGCAACTCAAATGTATTATAAGTATCGGAGCAGAGCAATAAGTCGCGATAACGTCAAAAAGGCACTTAAAATGAATTGTAACTGCTATTTTGACATCATTTTGATGTCATAATAATTTGTGTTCTGCTTAGATACGTTTAAAATACAGAGTTTCACGTTGATCTTATTTTTTCTCTCGTTTAAATATTACGAATTAAATATTACGAAAACTCTCTCGGGAAAAGAGGAGAGAAAAAGAATGCAGAGGAAGATGCGGAAATATGGGCAGTCATGAAGAACATCTATCGTGGAATAAAGAAGTGACGTATCCGACGCGCTGTTCCAATAAAAATCATGATTCACGGTCACATGATCATCAAATCTACCAGTTTCTCGAATTCTTCATGAGATTTATAATATAAACGATATAACTTATGTTTTAATCTTATCTTCTTATATCTAAATTTCTTCGAGATAAGAAAGCACAAATTTCAAATAGAAAGAACAAAAGTGTTAAAACAATGGACAACTGATTAAGGTAACGAGCTTTAATGACGACATTCAAAATAGATCGATAATTTTCCAAACATACAATTTTTTTCTAACTATAACTGGCGTCACTATATCATAAAATGTTACGATTATAGCCATTTTAGGTAGGTAATAAATTATATAATTACGCAAGGCAATGTTTGTCAGATATCAGTCAGTCTATTTCAAATACATAGCTCATTATGAAACATCTAGAAAGCATTGCATTGATGTGTAAATAATAACGCGTCATGTGAGCTCCACAATGAAGCTAGCGAACGCGATAGTTTGCGCACGCTATCATTATTATTCTCACATCAAAAACACCTGTTTTCGTGCTTCGCCGACGAGAAATTTGTATTAATGTTTTCAGTGCGAATTCAACGGAAGCTAATTCAACGGAATAAAAATAAGATTCTTTGGATATGTATGCCTTGTAGCATCGCGCGTTAAAAAATTATATACATATTCCTTTTTTCAGGACAGTGCACAATCATTTTCAAGAATCACAGTGGAGACAATTCTGCTGTTTGTCCGCTAGTGACACAGGTCAAAAACCTACCTCGTCGTTACTGTCACGGTACCGGTTGTCCCTTCCTGCGGCTCTTCCTTTTCACGAATCACCGCTCCCGTTTACTAGCAGTAAGTCCACTAAAATTACAACATTTCGTTTTTTCTTCGTATGAGTTTTTTTTTCGAACTGAAGCTATGCGGGTTCCATATTTATTTCCTGATCATTCATCTAAATTCCGTCCATGATGTGGGTTCACTATTTCTTTTCATTAACACGTGACTCATTACTCGTGCACTCACTCGCATACATAAATTACGTACATTATCTGCAAGTGTTTTCACATTCGTATTTATTTATGCAAATACAGCGCATTTACACGAATGAATCATAAATGGTAATAAATATGATAAATACTTTTTCATAGTAATACTTTTTTTAAAATTATAAGAATAAACGCTGAATTTCTCTTGAAGATAGAAACATTTGATTATTAATGTCAGTGATTTTTTTTCTTTTCTTTCTCTCTATCTACGATATACATTCGCCGTTTTTTAATAAAAAATTTTATCAAAAAAATTTTTTTTCAGGTCAAAAACGAGTTTCTGTGAGAAATACAAGCCTAGTACGCGCTGACCGAGAGAATTAATGAATTAAAGAGACACTTTGCGCGCGCGGCAACGAGCGGAGAAAGACGCGCGCGTGTGCTCCAACGCACATATACATTGATAGGCACAGATACACAAACACAATGAGCGAACTGTAGATTTCACAGTTTATGAGCACAGGCCTTCTCCTTTCTCCTCGTGGGAGCTCGATGGTTTTGGAGTATACTTTTAGAATGTTCGAACTCCGATACTTGATTGCGTTTTATCAAGTTCGAATCTTGAGTTTTGTAGAATTGTCGATATTTATATACGTAAAGATAACGTCGACATGAGAAACGATAAGATAAAGTGACCGAGCGTCGCGTCCTCGCCCACCCGACGGCACAGCTCGTGCCTTTGCACTGACGCGGCTCCACTCTTCGTAGTCTCAGTTGCTCATGCATCTATCGTTGTTGCTCCTCTCGGTGGTGGAAAGAGGCCGGAGAAGGGGAGCAGGCCAACGCCATCGACACCAATTGCAACGGCCACCAATGTAACTGCACATGGAATGTGTTATTCATTTTGTAGTTAAACTGTTTATAAAGTCGTATGCAGAACGCGAAAATCTGCTAATTAATTGAATAGATATAGAAGATCTCACTCAAAATTAGATATAGAATTTCACATTAAAAATTATACAAAATAATTAAATTTCTTTTTGATGATATTGGTCTTTGAATATAATTCATGCTATTAAATATTTAATTCTACAAGATTAATTATCTTACTTAATAAAGTAAATATAATTTACAGATCCAGCGTCACAATACTGCGAATCATTTCAACTGATATTTAATTTAAAGGAAAAACTAATAACTGCACGTGCCACGTGAAGTACAGAAATTTAATAAAATGGTAGACAAGGAGAGATATTGTACTACGAAGAATATTTTACTAAAACCTACGAAGAATATTTTAATGAAACCTTTATTAAGATTTTTATCATGCCAAAGACAAATGACGACTTTGGCTATACAAACAGGTAAACGTTTTCCCGGCAAGAGTCCTCCATGCAGGTGCAAATTATACAAGTATATTGCTATAGAATTTTAGATTAATATTAAAAAACACAATAAAATTGTATAAACAGATTTGATATCACAGAACAATACAAAGGAAATGCTTATTTATGTATGCTTAAGTTAAATCATATTTTTACTTATAAAAATATAATTTTTCTTCTTTTTAAATCGCAATTTATTTAATTTGTTTTACATCGTGACTATATAAGTACTATTGTCACTTTCAATTACGATATTTAATTAGTTGATTTTATTAAATTAATACGATTTTAACGTGCAATTGAAATGAAGCATCATCAGTTGCACCTGCATTATCAAGCGACTTGTGCGCGGGTATCTCTACTATCTTAAATCACAATGGTGACGACAAGTTTAACTATTTCGTTAATTAGTTCCTTAAGATTGATCGTTACATATAAGCAGATACGCACGCACGCACACACGTTTTAGCAGCCATATACATAAAAACGCGTGATGAAACGATTCGATGACTGCCGATGATCTCTTGGCGAATATTCAATGACAATGTTGCATCACGGATTAAAAAAATAATTGGAATTGTCAATGAACCTTGGGATTGTAATTATAAACGATAATTATAATAAATATTTCTTTTAATTTTAACCAAAATCATCTTTGCTATGAAATGATTAAAAAAAGAAATCAAAACAATTAGGAATAAATAAATAGAAAGAAGATTTATGTAATTTTACGAAATTAAAAATATTTACTGCAAGATTACATTTTTGCGAACAACGCGCGGCGATTTCTAAGATCATCGGCATTCACTATCGAGAATCACACGAGGAGGAATTATATTCCCGCGGAGCGACTCGCTTTTATTATATAATTCCCCTTACCGTCATAAGATTAATTTACCACGATCGATTAGAGTCGATCGCGCAAACCCGTAAAGAGTACCTACGTTTTCGGCGTGATGTCGAATGCTTAGGCCATAAAATCGTAAAAAAATATTCAAGCGCGAGTTCGTAGGCGAGTATTTGGTATGGAGTGCCTCGTTTTATTTTCTTTTTTTTTCGAGAGTTCGAGGCAAAAATTGGAACGCGCGTTTACTTTCGTATACTTTGCAGAAAAGAGTGAGATCGCTCGCGGTTTCCAGTTAGTCCAATCGGAATCGTGTGTGCGTGCGTTGCGTAGCGGCCATGTTTTTTTTTTCGTTTTTATAAAGAGGAACGATCGACGGAATATCTACTATTATGTTGGAACACAGAGAGACAATCGTTAAACAATGCGATCAGCCCTGAACCGATAACGCTATTTTGCGTAAAATCTTTATGACGGAAATCAGCAAACCACATGATTCTGTTTCTACACATTTATATATTTTTGAATGTCTATGGAAGATCAAATTACATTATCATAATTAAGTCATTTTCAACTAATTGAGCAGTGATTTCTCGCTTATTTTTGTAATAAATTGGTCCATGTACAACAAAAATACGTTTTTTGTAATTGAACATTTTAATTGACAGATCACAGAAACCAACGTTTTGCGAAGTTTATCGGATAAGGGCTGAAATAAATGACTCACAATCCTCCTCTCTTCGCTTTTATCCAAAGTAATAATAGCTTTTTGACACCCCGTACCAATCTATTTTGCAAATAAAAAAATATTTGATTTCTATTAGAAACCCTAATTATATTGATAAATATATTTGTGTGGAGAAAATAATAGCAAATTTTTAAGTTATCAAATTCATGAAATATAGCTTTTAAATCTGTAATATTACAGATTATTACAGTCTTAGCGTAGGCGAAGCGTATCAAATTAAAAATTGATATTATATATATATATATTGTAATAAGATTTTAATAATTAATCCGGTCATGGCGACGGATACGAGGCATCGTGAATCTGCCATGTAATTCGAAATCGTCAAACTACAATAATAGTTCTTCGAAATCGTTCACGACTGTAATATATGATTCAAGAGCATAGGATAAAGAGACGGTGAGAGAGAGAAAGACAATGACATAGAAAGTTTAAGAGATTAATTCGAGGAAAAAATCTTTAGGCACACTCACACACATACACGTACATTTATATAATTATATATTTGTGTGTATATATTATGCGTAGAGCGCAAGAGTCTTTATTTTTTGGTAAGCAAAACGTGGCTTCGCACTTTTATTCGAATTTCTGCCAGAGTCAGCAAGGGTGACGTGATTTGTTCCTTTTTTAATTCTTTGCGCTTGAACGTCAATTACAGAAAAGTAAAATTGAAAAATTAATTAAAAATGTGTAAATAAAAATCAATAATATTAGGCTGTAAATTAAACTCTCTCTGTAATATGTATAATTTATAAAAATATAATAAATCATGTAAATACATTATCTATATTTTTTTCTTGACTTAGATAATTGTTAGTGTTCTCGATTTATTATAAAATATTGTTCCCTGTAAACTTAACAGGTAACTTAACTAGAATTTGATATGAGAAGTAATGACATTAAAAAAAAGAAAGGATTGAATTAGCGCAAAGAATTAATCTATAAAAATTACACATCTATTTTTCGTATTAATTCCGATCAGATTTCGACAATGTCGATTTTCTAATCGCTTTGTACTTGCTCAGCCGATCAATATATTGCAGAAAAAATGTCATAATGCGAATATTCAGATCACCCTCGTAACGCCACCACCCTTCAGTACATGGACTCTTAAAATTGCTTATTTTTCTTTGTTCTTCGTACGTTTTCGCGCAGTAGTTAGTTAATTATAATGTAATCGTTATGTCATAATTTAATAGCAAATATATTATCACATTTAGATTGTATTAATTTTTAAGACGACCGACCGGACGTCCCTCGACGAAGTTTTCGTCGTCTCGCAACTTTTGTATTGAAAAAGGCCTATTAATGCCCAATTATTTTACGATATATCTTTCAGTATTATTTAGTTTTTTCTATAACAGGAGTAATGCGGTAACTACAATCACTTACGAATACAAATAAAAATACTGCGAAGCTCTATTTGGAATGTGTTACTTTCGATAAATGCCACCAGTTCCAAGCAACCGCATTGTCATCAAAAAGGTTAATAACTTTGCATTGAAACACTTGACCTTCTCATTCTTTATTCTTTCGACGCCATTGATAAGATCTCGCGATGACGTAAACGCTTGCTTTGTTTCGCAGATTCCGACAATGAACTTTGAAGAGATCGCTTCAATTCGCACTTAAGAGAGCGCGAACGACGGCATTCGTCGTAGACACGTCCGTCCGGTATGTTAGATTTAAATCTAAGAAACATTAATATAGAATATATTATATATCGTGTAGTTTATATAAGGTATACGTTAAGACACTTACTGCTACAGCAAAAATTCAACAGTTAAAAGATTGTAACAACTAGTTCACGCTCACGTCGAACACAGAAGCGGACGGTCAGATGGAAATCTCTGCGTTTGCGAACTTTTCGTTGAATCTTTGAGAGGAAATGAAACCTTATAAAAAGGCATCTTAAAAAATAGTTTAAAAATAATGCAACTAAAACTAAAATTATATCTAAGTTTTGAAATAAAAATGCTTTTAGTACCTAAGGTTTTTTTTTCTCTCTTTCTTTGTAGATCGGATAAATAAGAGCCAAAGATTCAGTTTGAAATGTAAGGAATCGAATTGCGCGATTTTTCGCAAACGAAGAAATCTGATCGTACGTTTCACATCCGAAGCAGCTTACACCCCTCGCGCATCTCCCTTCCACAGAACATCGTTCATCCCCTTATAATCGGGATCACTTTGGCACGAA